ACCTTCCTGAAATATGTAGCCTTAAACCACTATAGTCAGAGGCTACGAATGCACCCAACTACCACTACTATTACTTAAAGCAGTTCTAATGAAACCACACCTTATGGCACCCACCCAATTCTTCATTCATCCATCACTACTGTTGGTGTTAGTCACAGCACTGGTCCTAATACACACCTACTTGTGCTATATTTCGATGGCCAGAAAAACTTCCACTCAGAAAGTAGAGACTAAGACAGAATTCCTTTTATAGGAACATTTTAATAGTTATTCGATGTTCTACATCTTACAGTAAATATTATACAATTACAAACGTGGCTTAGTTATGGTATGAAGATCACTAACTGATCTTCAAAAAAATAAAAACAAAATTAACAAAAACATAAAAAAAACCAAAATTCAAAACAGATTTACACTTCATATCACAAGCCTGACGTGGGTCCGCGACACTGGACCAATAGCTAACATACAATTCAGTTCACGCAACGTTGAGAAAACGTTGTGCCATAGTTTGCCACAACGGTAGGGTAATGTTACCATTGTTTGTGCAAACTGGGTACCAAACTTCAAGGGGATTGTTCCTAAACTCGCTCCAGGGATTAAAGTATTTTGGAAGACGAGGAATTTCCACTTTTTGCATCACATTTAGTGTTCAAAATTATTATTTTAGAAATAAAAAGCTGCAGAACATCGAGGAAAAAAAACACACAAAAACAAGTCCACCATACCTCCAATAGTTGGGTTTTAATTTGAGGAAACTGCTAAGATATGAAAACTGTTAAGACATGACCACTGAGGCAAAAGAAGAGAGTCAGAAAAAGAGAAGTGGGGGAGAGGTTGGTGTTTGACACCATTTTGATTTGACATAATGAAGAAGAGTAAAATACACAAAAACATCAACAACAAATAATCCTTTAACATCTTTAAAGGATCTTTAACTTCTTTCACATTTTTGGAAACGTATTCAGAGATGGAATGATACAAAAGGTGAAGGAATCATAAGTTGATAGAGTACGAGTAAAAATACCTTAAAATATATCCCCCTTTGAGCTCTGCAGGTAAGTGTTTCATCAGGGTTAGGGTCAATTCGATTTGAACTCAGAGAACGAGTTGAAATTCAGTTCCCTTCCTGGAATTGACCCCATCCCTCCTGACATCACTCCCATCAAAAACACAGGCATGCAAACAGGTGACAGTGTGTGTGTGTGTGTGTGTGTGTGTGAGAAAGTCCGAAACAAGCCCCCTCGGAATGAGTGTGTTAGCCGAACCGCTGAGACTTGTGCTATAGAATAATAAAACACAAAATCGCAGTTAAAACCTTAAATAACACTTATGGTAAAAAGCGCTCAACTTTACACGGCTCAGGAAATCCAACATTCTGTTTCCTATTTTAGGCCGAGGTGTAGAATACTGGAGGGAATTCCTTTGCCCATTCCAAAAATCATCCACTTATCAGTTGCTCTTAAAGCATCTGATGGGTTCAAGCAACACAGGTAATAGCTCCATCTTCTGGTAGGTTCAGTAGTTGAACAACCATCTTGCTTCAACCCATCCAACCCTCTCAGATCTACATGAGCTAGAGGTTGATGTCAGACTGTGCACCAGACTCTGGTGGGTTAGTGTGACACCCCATCCAGAGCACAACCTCAGCTAGGATTAGATTGGATTACATGAGACATCTACAGTCCTGGTCATCTACATGGTTCCAGTCTGCCATTACACCTCACTTCATCTCTGTAATGAAGAGGTGCCGAGGGCTGCTTTTTACCAACGTTTAAAGGGGGAGAGAGAGAGCGAGAGAGAGAGCATGAGAGGGAGCTGGAACACAGAGCCACAGACAGAGAGAGGGGGGGGGAGGAGGGGGAGGAGTAAAATTGAGGAAGAGAGATACATATATTGAGAAACAGAGACCAGTTCCAACCCCGATGGCAGGATGTGGAGGTCATTAGTAACTAATTATTACATTAGAATTTACGTGAAGAACAGATTTTCAGACAGATCATGTTTGGGATTTGACAAAGACCAACAACTGGACTTATTAAATAACATTTACTAAAATACACCACTGAGCGGGAAGGACAAACCAGAGAGTGTGAAGGAAGGAGGGACTGCGCGAGAGGGAGAGCGAGGGAGAGAGAGAGAGGTGGGGGGGGGGAGAGAGAGAGAGGTGGGGGGGGAGAGAGAGAGAGTGGGTAATGTCTGATTTATTAGATTCTAAAAGGTGGTGAATATCTTGAAGTTGATAAAAGCATGCTTCGCAGTAACACACAACCACTCAGTGTATAAACAGACTGCATTGTGATGCATGACGCTCCATGCTACACTACACCTGAATATGAACCATCCTTATGTTCAAAAGACCACAGAAAGAAAAACACGCCATATTATTTTCCGAAACCTCAATGCGAAACAACACTGAAATAGTGGTTGATTAAATAAATGCTCATGAACAACAATAAGCCATTTTCTTTTGTTGAGAATTATACTAACTAGCACAAACATTATCAGGACTAAGGACACCTTACTGAACGCTTGATATCTATTGTTTTGTTTTCTTAAATGACAGTTTAAACTGCCTCTCTCTGTTTCACTACGAAGTCTATCTACCTGGTAACTAGTATAAATTATTGTTGTCAGGTTTTTTATTGTGCAAGCTTCCTCGTGCGATTATTACAATAACTCTGATATGTACTGCTGCCACCTCAGAATACAGTAACAGTGATTTAAAGGGATTGAGGCTGGATACAGAGCCCATAATCCAGATTTAAGGATTACCAGAATAAGGATTTTAAAATTATCTTAATTCAAAACGACTATAAAATAATTACTGTGTGGTAACCGTATAACGAGGCATTTCCTCTTATTGCAATTAACGACTTGATCTACTTCGATACATTGTAAATGCTTTGTAATGACCCGTGCCCCACAGATCCTAACTGTGATTCATACTAATCTATTAAAACCCTGAAACATGGCACACACACACACCGTTCCCTGCTGCTCTCCCCTCCCCTCCTGACCCACCACTCCCCTCCTCTCTTCCTCTCCCCTCCTCTGCCATGTCACCCTGCCCAGTGCTTCCACATCTCTTTAACATGTTCCTCAACACGCCATCAGTCCGAGTGGTGGTTTAATGTACTGTGTGTGCATGTGTGTTTAACTGTGTTGGCACACGTTTGATTCAACGTCTGATTATTTGATTGACATTAAGTGATCCAGCTCTAAGTGTGACTTGTGTGTGTATTTATATGATTTTTGTGTGTCCCCACAAGGTTAGTTATACAAGACTGTGTATGTGTGTGTGTAATTGTGTGACTGCGTGCATGACCACACATCCTGTACAAACACACACAGCTATATAAATATATCTTGTAATTTATAGGTTTAAGCTAAAAGACATAAACGGCCTCTAGATTGAGATGAATTCAGTAACTGGTAAGTACTGTGGCCCTTGTGATGCTGCATACCACGTCTTAACAGCCACACAGCAGATCTAGTCGTCACAGATCTAGTCAGATAGCAGATCTACGCCACAGGTCAAAAGTTTTAGAACACCTACTCATTCAAGGGTTTTTCTTTATTTTTACTATTTTCTACATTGTAGAATAATAGTGAAGACATCAAAACTATGAAATAACACATGGAATCATGTAGTAACCAGAAAAGTGTTAAACAAATCTAAATATATTTTATATAGCCACCCTTTGCCTTGATGACAGCTTTGCACACTCTTGGCATTCTCTCAACCAGCTTTACCTGGGATGCTTTTCCAACAGTCTTGAAAAAAAAACTTGAATGAGTAGGTGTTCTAAAACGTTTGACCGGTAGTGTAGTCGTTACTGATCTAGTCAGACAGCAGATCTTTACAGATCTAGTCAGACAGCGGATCTAGTCATTACAAATCTAGTCAGACAGCGGATCTAGTCATTACAGATCTAGTCAGAAAGAGGATCTAGTCATTACAGATCTAGTCAGACAGCGGATCTAGTCATTACAAATCTAGTCAGACAGCGGATCTAGTCATTACAGATCTAGTCAGACAGCGGATCTAGTCATTACAGATCTAGTCAGACAGCGGATCTAGTCATTACAGATCTAGTCAGACAGCGTATCAAGACGTTACAGATCTATCTAAGAAACAGCTATAAGCTGGAAGACAACCCTTGTTATCAGAAGATGAACTGAAGATCAGAAGGAGAAGTGGAACAGAGGATGTGAAGGAGAAAACAACAGGCTGTTCTAAGACAGTGCTTTGTTGGAAAGGAAAAGTAAGGGATTAAAACAAATCTAAATAAATAAAATCAAAACCCTGTGCTGATATCTAATGGTTAGAAAATTTGGCAGCATAAGTTGGTGATGATAAAGGTGGTGATGATAAAGGTGGTGATGATGGAGCAGGAAGTGACCAGTACATTGATGATGGAGCAGGAAGTAAGCAGTACATTCCCACCACTGGCACACAGCAGCAGAACACAGTCCACAAGCAGGGCAACAGACACTCGTGATTGGTCAATCACTCTGGAGTTCCAATGATGATGGAAAAATTTAAATGATGGAAAAAATATATATATATTACAACACCAAAAAACAACGAAAACAAAGTAATGCAACGAAATATTGGCAAATCAATGGAGAAAGAAAAAAAAATCTTTGAATAAAAAAAAAAATTAAAGCAGCTTTTGTAAAACACTAGAGAATGCAGCAAGTGTCCGTTGCTCTTTAGTTTTGTTGTTGCAGACAGATGTGATGTTGCCATGGTGACCATAAGAAGCCCGTGTAAAACTTGAGTAGTTGCATACGATGTTGGACTCCAGATCTGAAATGACACGACACAGACAGAGAAAGAGTGACAAGACATTGGATTGATTGAGAGTGGAATGTGGACATTTGGAATTATAAGATTACTTGAAAAAGTTCAAGGTGAAAGAGAGAAATAAGGAGAGCTAGTCACATGACTTACTTCTTTTTTTTTGGGGGGGGGGGGGGGGGGGGGGGGGGGGGGGTCTACCAGTGGGGAGGGACATAGCTGTATCCCGGTGTGCCCTGGGGTCGGTACTGTGGCATGGTGACGTGTTGGTGCGCTCCCAGCTGAGCGTGCTGGGGTGTGGTCAGCAGGGTTCCTACAGGACGTCACACGCATCATCAGTGTTGGATGTCATTTTGTCACTATTGTTTTGACCGTAGCACTATGGTCAATATGGCACCGACCAAACTAATAACACTTACACCAAAAACACATAACAGCAATATTATAATTTTTGCATAACTTAAGTATAATCAATTTAGCATAGGAAATTAAATTCAATCATTAAAAAAGGTATTTAATATGAAAATATCTTCCTTGTTCACGTGACTCAACACATTCTGTAGCTACATCAGTTTCCTCAGTCATCAGCCCTACCTGCACTCATAGCCATGGTGGTCCCGGCAACCATCCCCATGGCAGCCATTCCATTGTTTCTAGGGGCTTGGACAGGGGCGGGGTAGAGGGCTGAGGGCATGCTGTTTGGCTGAACCACCGTGGTGTGGTGGATGACATGGGGCTGAGGCTGAGCGGCATACACTGGCTGCGTGTAATATGCCTACAGGGGACAGAGAGACAGAGGTTAGAGTGGGTCTGTATTAGTGTGTGTTTATGTGTGTGTGTGCATGTGAGTAGTGTTGTTGATTTACATATGGCTGAGCCGCATACACTGGCTGGCCATAATACGATGCTGCCTACAGGGAGACAGAGACAGAGGTTAGGGTGTGAGTGAGCTTACCGATACGTAAAGGTTCTACTGAGGGTAGACGTTGAGGGAGTACGGTGTGTGTATGCTGAGGTTAGGATTGTATATAGGTGTGTGTGTGTGTGTGTGTAGAAGCTGCTGAGGGTAGGAGTTGGTAGAGTACGGTGCGGGTGTGTGAAGGGTGTGTGGGTGTGTGAAGGGTGTGGGGTGCGGGGGTGGTGTGTGGGTGTGTGAAGGGTGTGTGGGTGTGTGAGGGTGTGTGGGTGTGTGAAGGGTGTGTGGGTGTGTGAAGGGTGTGTGTAGAAGCTGCTGAGGGTAGGAGTTGGTAGAGTACGGTGCGGGTGTGTGAAGGGTGTGTGGGTGTGTGGGTGTGTGAAGGGTGTGTGTAGAAGCTGCTGAGGGTAGGAGTTGGTAGAGTACGGTGCGGGTGTGTGAAGGGTGTGTGAAGGGTGTGTGAAGGGTGTGTGGGTGGTGGTGAAGGGTTTGGGTGTGGGGGTGTGAAGGGTGGGGTGAGGGGTGGGTGGTTGAGGGTGGGGTGGTGTGGAAGGGGGGGGTGGGTGTGAAGGGTGTGGTGGGGTGTGTGAAGGGTGGTGGTGGTGTAGAAGTGCGGGGGGTAGGAGGTGGGTAGGTAGTGGTTGAGGGTGTGTGAGGGTGTGTGAGGGTGGTGGTGTGAAGGGTGTGGGGTGTGAAGGGTGTGGCGGGTGTGTGAAGGTGTGTGGGTGTGTGTGAAGGGGTGTGGGGTGTGTGAAGGGTGTGTGGGTGTGTGAAGGTGTGTGGTGTGGGTGTGTGAAGGGTGTGCGGGTGGTGTGTGAAGGGTGTGGTGGGGTGTGTGAAGGGTGTGTGGGTGTGTGAAGGGTGGTGGGTGTGGAAGGGTGGTGTGAAGGGTTGGGTGAAGGGTGTGTGAAGGGTGTGTGAGGGGTGTGTGAAGGGTGTGCGGGTGTGTGAAGGGTGTGTGGTGTGAAGGGTGTGTGAAGGGTGTGTGAAGGGTGTGTGAAGGGTGTGTGAAGGGTGTGCGGGTGTGTGAAGGGTGTGTGAAGGGTGCGTGAAGGGTGTGTGAAGGGTGTGTGAAGGGTGTGTGTGCTTACCTGTGCATACAAGTTCTGCAGGTTCTGCATGCTCTGCTGGGGGTAGGCACTTCTGATTGGGTACATGGCTGTTTGGTAGGGGTTGGGGGAGGGGGAATAGGGCGGGGGTGCGCCGTTCATCTGGGTGGGGGGCACTTTATATGGAGTACCCGCTGTAGTGTATCCTACACACACACACACACACACACACACACACACACACACACACACACACACACACACAGAGAGAGAGAGATATGAAACATCGGTCCAACAGCCAAGACACCATTTAAGGGTAACACATCCTTCCTTTCAGTCCTAATCTAGTACCATCATAGCACAGTATTAATTTTGTCCCCCAAAAAATGGTGACTCAAATATTTGTCAAACACCTATTTTTCAGAGGCAATTGAAGAGACTATATAACTGACTAAACAGACCCAGAAAAAAAATATAGCTAAACCAAAATAATTGCTATTTCATTTGACTAAAAAATCAACTTGACAAAACTATCTCTGACTAAAATCTGACTACTAAGTCTACCGGCGCTACGATTTGTTTCCTTTCTATCGTGGCGGGCCGCATTTTACATTAATAACCGGACCGTTAACCATTTATTTAGGCTACACCTTGTTCAGTCATGTTACCTCATTAACTAGCTATTGCTAACAACCTGGGCTGCGTTCAGCAGGATGCAATGTTTTGGAACGTTCAGATAGAAATATGGTATGTAGAACAAACATGCCTCTCTGACATGTTGAATAAGAAATAACGTCGGCTCTTATTCATGGTTTTCTATCTGCAAAGTTCAAGAATGTTTTTCAACTGAACATTACCAATAGCATTACCAGTAGCCTGCATGCAAACATTGGGTGGCACAGAAAGAAAGCAATGTTTGAAATGTGTTCTACCCTCTTTGAGTCAGTGACTGTTGTCACGGAGTGATCTCGCTCTCTCATGTAACGTGCAATATCTATGTAGGCTGAATTAGGAATTTACATGGCCAGATAATCCTTCTATAATGCAGAAAAATATGTTGGTAGGAAAAGGCTATGTATGCCCATGGAAGTCAGTTATTTATGTTTACTATAGGTTAATGAGGCAATACAAATCTGATTACTAAAAAGAAAGGACATTTAGTTGACAAAAATTGCCAACTTTTTGTCATTTTGACAAATCCTAGACTAAACCATTATTCAAATGACAAAAATGTGACTTGATATTTTGGTCAAAATGACTAAGACTACAATAAATCTAAAAAAAAAGAATGCCAAAATGAACACTGCCATAGCTTGTCATCCAGTCAGCGTATGACTAGTCATTGTCTTCTCCTAGTGGTAGAGCCTCATCACTACAGTCTCCTCCTAGTGGTAGAGACTCATCACTACAGTCTCCTCCTAGTGGTAGAGCCTCATCACTACAGTCTCCTCCTAGTGGTAGAGCCTCATCACTACAGTCTCCTCCTAGTGGTAGAGACTCATCACTACAGTCTCCTCCTAGTGGTAGAGCCTCATCACTACAGTCTCCTCCTAGTGGTAGAGCCTCATCACTACAGTCTCCTCCTAGTGGTAGAGCCTCATCACTACAGTCTCCTCCTAGTGGTAGAGCCTCATCACTACAGTCTCCTCCTAGTGGTAGAGCCTCATCACTACAGTCTCCTAGTGGTAGAGTCTCATCACTACAGTCTCCTAGTGGTAGAGCCTCATCACTACAGTCTCCTCCTAGTGGTAGAGCCTCATCACTACAGTCTCCTCCTAGTGGTAGAGCCTCATCACTACAGTCTCCTCCTAGTGGTAGAGCCTCATCACTACAGTCTCCTCCTAGGGGTAGAGACTCATCACTACAGTCTCCTCCTAGTGGTAGAGCCTCATCACTACAGTCTCCTAGTGGTAGAGTCTCATCACTACAGTCTCCTAGTGGTAGAGCCTCATCACTACAGTCTCCTCCTAGTGGTAGAGCCTCATCACTACAGTCTCCTCCTAGTGGTAGAGCCTCATCACTACAGTCTCCTCCTAGTGGTACAGCCTCATCACTACAGTCTCCTCCTAGGGGTAGAGCCTCATCACTACAGTCTCCTCCTAGTGGTAGAGCCTCATCACTACAGTCTCCGCCTAGTGGTAGAGCCTCATCACTACAGTCTCCTCCTAGGGGTAGAGACTCATCACTACAGTCTCCTCCTAGTGGTAGAGCCTCATCACTACAGTCTCCTCCTAGTGGTAGAGCCTCATCACTACAGTCTCCTAGTGGTAGAGTCTCATCACTACAGTCTCCTATTGGTAGGAGGAGACTGTAGTGATGAGGCTCTACCACTAGGAGGAGACTGTAGTGATGAGGCTCTACCACTAGGAGGAGACTGTAGTGATGAGGCTCTACCACTAGGAGGAGACTGTAGTGATGAGACTCTACCACTAGGAGACTGTAGTGATGAGGCTCTACCACTAGGAGGAGACTGTAGTGATGAGACTCTACCACTAGGAGGAGACTGTAGTGATGAGTCTCTACCACTAGGAGGAGACTGTAGTGATGAGTCTCTACCACTAGGAGGAGACTGTAGTGATGAGACTCTACCACTAGGAGGAGACTGTAGTGATGAGACTCTACCACTAGGAGGAGACTGTAGTGATGAGGCTCTACCACTAGGAGGAGACTGTAGTGATGAGGCTCTACCACTAGGAGGAGACTGTAGTGATGAGGCTCTACCACTAGGAGGAGACTGTAGTGATGAGGCTCTACCACTAGGAGGAGACTGTAGTGATGAGGCTCTACCACTAGGAGGAGACTGTAGTGATGAGGCTCTACGACTAGGAGGAGACTGTAGTGATGAGGCTCTACCACTAGGAGACTGTAGTGATGAGGCTCTACCACTAGGAGACTGTAGTGATGAGACTCTACCACTAGGAGACTGTAGTGATGAGGCTCTACCACTAGGCGGAGACTGTAGTATGGAGACTCTACCACTAGGAGGAGACTGTAGTGATGAGGCTCTACCACTAGGAGGAGACTGTAGTGATGAGGCTCTACCACTAGGAGGAGACTGTAGTGATGAGGCTCTACCACTAGGAGGAGACTGTAGTGATGAGGCTCTACCACTAGGAGGAGACTGTAGTGATGAGACTCTACCACTAGGAGGAGACTGTAGTGATGAGGTTCTACCACTAGGAGGAGACTGTACTGATGAGGCTCTACCACTAGGAGGAGACTGTAGTGATGAGGCTCTACCACTAGGAGACTGTAGTGATGAGGCTCTACCACTAGGAGACTGTAGTGATGAGACTCTACCACTAGGAGGAGACTGTAGTGATGAGTCTCTACCACTAGGTGGAGACTGTAGTGATGAGACTCTACCACTAGGAGACTGTAGTGATGAGTCTCTACCACTAGGAGACTGTAGTGATGAGGCTCCAAAAACACCCAAAATATGGCCTTTTCGAGACATGAAATCGTGTCATTCCGAACTTTATCCGCAACGTTATCTTCCCTTTTGCGTGACTCAAGCCGTTTCCAGCTGTTCCATTCTCTGTGTAGCCTGCTGCTACAGGTAACTGCCAAAATAAAGGAAACACCAACATAAAGTGTCTTAATACCGCGTTGGGCCACGACGAGCAGCCAGAACAGCTTCAACGCACGTTGGCATAGATTGTACAAGTGTCTGGAACTTCCTGGGTGGAAGTACTCCATGCTTTCAATATACTTTGCAACCCTCATTTAGTGTTTTGTTTATTTTGGCAGTTACCTGAAGAATGGACGAAAAGGTAAATGGAATATACATTTTTGAATGGCACAATTTCATGTGTACAATATCAAAAGACCTGCATCACTATACTGAGAGCTTTGCCGTTTCTAAAACAACATTTTGGGGTGTTTTCGAGCCTTTGTTCATGTTACACAACGAGGAAGTGATTTTATGGTTGGGGAAAGTTTCTCAAAAACATGCGAAATCACACAAAAGCTGTCTGGACCCTTCTATAACATGCCATTTACACAGTGCTTGACTTGGACAGGAGTTCACCGGAGCGGAGTGCCGGCACCTCAAAATCTTCTACTGCTTGAGGTCCTGTTCCTCTTATAGAATTTTGGCTCAACAGTATTGTGGCGCTCCTGCACCTAAATATAAACAGTACCGGCACCCAAAATGAGTACCGGCACCATTTTCAGTCCAAGTCAAGAACTGCATTTACAGTGCATTTAACAGTCATGTTAACACATACAGTGCATTGGAAAGTATTCAGACCCCTTCCTCCACGTTGTTACGTTACAGCCTTATTCTAAAACGGATCTAAATGTATGCTCATCAATCTACACAAAATACCCCATTATGACCAAGCGAAAACAGGTTTTTAGACATTTTTGCAAATGTATTACAAATAAAAAATTGAAAAAAACATTTACATAAGTATTCAGACCCTTTGCTATGAGACTCGAAATTGAGCTCAGGTGCATCCTGTTTCCATTGATCACCCTTGAGATGATTCTACAACTTGGAGTCCACCTGTGGTAAAATCAACTGATTGGACATGATTTGGAAAGGCACACACCTGTCTATATAAGGTCCCACAGTTGACAGTGCATGTCAGAGCAAAAACCAAGCCATGAGGTCGAAGGAATTGTCCATAGAGCCCCCGAGACAGGATTGTGTCGAGGCACAGATCTGGGGAAGGGTACCAAAACATTTCTGCAGCATTGAAGGTCCCCAAGAACACAGTGGTCTCCATCATTCTTACATGGAAGAAGTTTGGAATTACCAAGACTCTTCCTAGAGCCCGATGGTCACTCTGACAGAGTTCCAGAGTTCCTCTGTGGAGATGGGAGAACCTTCCAGAAGGACAACCATATCTGCAGCACTCCACCAATTAGGCCTTTATGGTAGAGTGGCCAGATGGAAGCCACTCCTCAGTAAAAGGCACATGACAGCCCGCTTGGAGTTTGCCAAAAGGCACCTAAAGGACTCTCAGACCATAAAAAACAAGATTATCTGGTCCCCATCCAACCTGACAGAGCTTGAGAGGATCTGCAGAGAAGGATGGGAGAAACTCCCCAAATATAGGTGTGCCAAGCTTGTAGCGTCATACCCAAGAAGACTTGAGGCTGTAGTCGATGCCAAAGGTGTAAAGGGTCTGAATACTTATGTAAATGTGATTTCATTTTAAACATTTTCATTTGCAAAGATTTCAAAAAACGTGTTTTTGCTTTGTCATTATGGGGTATTGTGTGTAGATTGATGAGGGAAAAAAAAACTATTTAATCCATTTGCTTTGGAATGGGGTATTGTGTGTAGGTTGATGAGATTTTTAAAAAATGTAATCAATTTTAGAATAAGGCTGTAACATAATGTGGAAAAAGGGAAGTGGTCTGAATACTTTCCGAATGCACTGTATGTGTGTGTATATATATATATATATATATATATATATATATACACACACACACACACACACACACACACACACAGTGCATTTACAATGTATTCAGACCCCTTCCCTTTTCCACATTATGTTACAGCCTTAATCTAAAATGGATTACTTTTTTTTTTTTTATCTCATCAACCTACACACAATACCCCATTCCAAAGCAATTTGAATGGGAGAGAAAAACGACTCGCACACACTAATTCAAAGCAACAATATTTGAGTGAGAGGCTGTTTTAAAACTCTGCAGCTGCAATAAAAACATATTTACAATAACAAAAAATAAGGTGATCCCGAAAGCCAGATGGAGATGGGTAAATTAGACGTGCATTCGGTGCTTATATTACTGTACCATAGGCTATGCTGTAGCAAATGTAGGCCTATCTGTCACAAGAATAAAAGTTACCATGAGATGATAGGTCTACATGCATTGTGAACTGCGCTCCATACTGAGATGGGCTGTCTGTCCCCACCATGAGCGTTAATGATTGATCATGCAGAGATCAGAGAGAAGGCCATAGAGAAGCCAGATTTAGACATCACATATAATTTAACAGTTCCATTTCGCACCATGCTGTTGATATCATTTATTATAATTTACCGGTTTCTCACAGTTATTTATCCCGGGAAAAGGGAGTGGTTTCCTGCCATTCAACCCTACTGTTACCTTTGTGTCCTACTATATGTGTAGTACTCTGCTAGAACCAGCAGGGGGCAGCTGACTACTCTATAACTGGGTTTCCAACATTTCCTTGCAAGAGAGCTACTTTTTAAAATGTTGCTGAGCTACAAAAAAAATTATAACTTTCAAATAGGCACATTCTTCTCTCCCCCGGGTCCTTAGTGTACAAGAGAAAGTCGTGCACGGTTTTCTGTCAATATACCTGGTAAAATAATGGTTAATAAACAACTAAGGGGAGCCCTATAAAATCTGTGTTTTTCCTCCAAAAAACTCAGTTTTAGGCTGGACTACCTGTTCCGGTCGAAATTGTGTGTGTGTGTGTTCTTACCCGGTGGGTACCCTGGACTACCCGTTTGGTAGAGGTTGGGTGTGTGTGTGTTCTTACCCGGTGGGTACCCTGGACTACCCGTTTGGTAGAGGTTGGGTGTGTGTGTGTTCTTACCCGGTGGGTACCCTGGACTACCCGTTTGGTAGAGGTTGGGTGTGTGTGTGTTCTTACCTGGTGGGTACCCTGGACTACCCGTTTGGTAGAGGTTGGGTGTGTGTGTGTTCTTACCTGGTGGGTACCCTGGACTACCCGTTTGGTAGAGGTTGGGTGTGTAGGTGGGAGCAGCAGTGGGGTAACCTCCTGGGTAGCCTACAGACACAGGACAAGAGAGAGTCTTAAGGAACGTGCGAACATCCGAAACAGTTTGAAACAGTTCATATACGATGACAATTTGGTGACGTTTTTCTTCGATTTAGTCTTCGGCTAGGGTTTTTTCGGCTGTTCGTGAACACCATTTTTTTTTCTTGAGGCAAGCCGAAGTTCGGCACACGAAGTCCATGCCCCTTCGTCAGTGATTGGTCAACAGTATGGATTCTTCAATGAAGTGTTTGTTGTCATTCATCGATACTTGATACAATACTGCACCAAACATCTTAGATGTCTAAGATTAATTACATATTTCTTGATTTATCTTAGATTGATTCTGACTATTTTGAGGAAGTGTTACTGGGTATGTTGTTGGTATGGCGTCTCAAGGAGGATAAAACACAAATATATACTTTTTTTCCCAAGCGAATGTATTTTAAGGGCGTATGGGAGATGTTCACTTCCCCTCGCTGAGTTCAGCTAGAAGCAAACCAAACCTATGTATGCGGACACAACACACACACTGGCATACAACACACTCTGGGGTGAACGCAACACACACACACTGGCATACAACACACTCTGGGGTGAACGCAACACACACACACTGGCATACAACACACTTTGGGGTGAACACAACACACACACACACTGGCATACAACACACTCTGGGGTGAACGCTACACACACACACTGGCATACAACACACTCTGGGGTGAACACAACACACATGTTGAATAGTGTCTGTTCTGTTATCACACCAGGATAATACAGTTCTGTTCTGTTATCACACCAGGATAATACAGTTCTGTTCTGTTATCACACCAGGATAATACAGTTCTGTTCTGTTATCACACCAGGATAATACAGTTCTGTTCTGTTATCACACCAGGATAATACAGTTCTGTTCTGTTATCACACCAGGATAATACAGTTCTGTTCTGTTATCACACCAGGATAATACAGTTCTGTTCTGTTATCACACCAGGATAATACAGTTCTGTTCTGTTTATCACACCAGGATAATACAGTTCTGTTCTGTTATCACACAGGATAATACAGTTCTGTTCTGTTATCACACCAGGATAATACAGTTCTGTTCTGTTATCACACCAGGATAATACAGTTCTGTTCTGTTATCACACCAGGATAATACAGTTCTGTTCTGTTATCACACCAGGATAATACAGTTCTGTTCTGTTATCACACCCAGGATAATTACAGTTCTGTTCTGTTATCACACCAGGATAATACAGTTCTGTTCTGTTATCACACCAGGATAATACAGTTCTGTTCTGTTATCACACCAGGATAATACAGTTCTGTTCTGTTATCACACCAGGATAATACAGTTCTGTTCTGTTTATCACACCAGGATAATACAGTTCTGTTCTGTTATCACACCAGGATAATACAGTTCTGTTTCTGTTATCACACCAGGATAATACAGTTCTGTTCTGTTATCACACCAGGATAATACAGTTCTGTTCTGTTATCACACCAGGATAATACAGTTCTGTTCTGTTATCACACCAGGATAATACAGTTGTAATCGTTCTGTTTGTTTCCGGTTAATACATCGCGGCTGTTAATCGTCTCATACCAAGGTGTTTCACACAACCAGAACAAGTTGTGTTAACCCTGTTTGTGTTTTCATACAACAACAGACCAACTGAGGGCAAACTGTGGTTAACCGTGGTTGTGTTGTAGTGATGTGTGTGTAATGACAAGAGAGATATGTACAGATTAGGAGAATGATAAGTGAACACACCTACACCTAACGTTTAGATTTATGTCTTGTTCAGGATACGCTGATGTGGCACGGGAAGATGTGGAGAAGGGGATGGAGAGAGAGGTGGAGATGGAGGAAGATGGAATGAGAGATGGAGATGAGCGAGAAGGAGAGTGGAGGAAGATGGGAGAGAGAGGAGAGATGGAGGAAGGAAGGATGAGAGAGAGAGAGGAGGATGGAGGAAGATGGAAGAAGAGAGAGAGATGGAGAGATGGAGAGAGATGAGATGAGAAGAGACGAGATGGCGATGGAGATGGAGAGAGAGAGAGCGAGATGGAGGAAGATGGAAAGAGAGAGGAGAGATGGAGGAAGATGGAGAGAGAGAGAGAGAGATGGAAGAAGATGGAGAGAGAGAGAGCGAGATGGAGGAATATGGAGAGAGAGAGAGAGAGAGTGTGAATGAGGGAAAAAACACAGAAGAACAGGAAGAGAGGAAGAGGAGGGATGTTGAGGGGAAGCATGACACACAGGTCACATCCATGTTGCTGTGTGTGTGTGTGTGTGTGTAAATGGAGGTGACAGCTGTGTGATTGGGGACAGTCATACATTCTGATAGATGTCACACTCTGTCTCATCACACTGTGATATACAGGCCCTGTCATAACATCCCTGTTATAGTGAATGGTACCATCACACTGTGATATACAGGCCCTGTCATAACATCCCTGTAATAATGAATGACTGTCATACTATCTCCAAAGTCAGTCTCCAAACCATCAAATGGTGTATCGGAGACTGATAGATCTGAAGGGGCCCCTTCCTGACCGTCTGCTGTCGGCGTAGGGATTAGGGGCGTAAACGATTAAACGTTAAAACTCTTAAACAAAATTGGGATCCTTAATGTTAAATAATTTTTCCCTTATTAAAATCCCATTAACTTTATGCAAAGAGTCAATATTTGCAGTGTTGACCCTTCTTTTTCAAGACCTCTGCAATCCGCCCTGGCATGCTGTCAATTAACCTCTGGGCCACATCCTGACTGATGGCAGCCCATTCTTGCATAATCAATGCTTGGAGTTTGTCAGAATTTTTTGTTTTTTGTTTGTCCACCCACCTCTTGAGGATCGACCACAAGTTCTCAATGGGATTAAGGTCTGGGGAGTTTCCTGGCCATGGACCCAAAATGTTGATGTTTTGTTCCCCGAGCCACTTAGTTATCACTTTTGCCTTATGGCAAGGTGCTCCATCATGCTGGAAAAGGCATTGGTCGTCACCAAACTGTTCTTGGATGGTTGGGAGAAGTTGTTCTCGGAAGATGTGTTGGTACCATTCTTTATTCATTACTTATACATTTTAGTCATTTAGCAGACGCTCTTATGGCTGTGTTCTTAGGCAAAATTGTGAGTGAGCCCACTCCCTTGGCTGAGAAGCAACCCCACACATGAATGGTCTCAGGATGCTTTACTGTTGGCATGACACAGGACTGATGGTAGCGCTCACCTGGTCTTCTCCGGACAAGCTTTTTTCCGGATGCCCCAAACAATCGGAAAGGGGATTCATCAGAAAAAATGACTTTACCCCAGTCCTCAGCAGTCCAATCCCTGTACCCTTTGAAGAATAACAGTCTGTCCCTGATGTTTTTCCTGGAGAGAAGTGGCTTCCTCGCTGCCCTTCTTGACACCAGGCCATCCTCCAAAAGTCTTCGCCTCACTGTGCGTGCAGATGCACTCACACCTGCCTGCTGCCATTCCTGAGCAAGCTCTGCACTGGTGGTGCCCCGATCCTGCAGCTGAATCAACTTTAGGAGACGGTCCTGGCGATTGCTGGACTTTCTTGGGTGCCCTGACACCTTCTTCACAACAAATGAACCTCTCTCCTTGAAGTTGTTGATGATCCGATAAATGGTTGATTTAGGTGCAATCATACTAGCAGCAATATCCTTGCCTGTGAAGCCCTTTTTGTGCAAAGCAATGATGACGGCACGTGTTTCCTTGCAGGTAACCATGGTTAACAGAAGAAGAACAATGATTTCAAGCACCACCCTCCTTTTAAAGCTTCCAGTCTGTTATTCTAACTCAATCAGCATGACAGAGTGATCTCCAGCCTTGTCCTCGTCAACACTCTCACCTGTGTTAACGAGAGAATCACTGACATGATGTCAGCTGGTCCTTTTGTGGCAGGGCTGAAATGCAGTGGAAATGGTTTTTGGGGATTAAGTTAATTTTCATGGCAAAGAGGGACTTTGCAATTAATTGCAATTCATCTGATCACTCTTCATGACATTCTGGAGTATATGCAAATTGCAAACATCAAAACTGAGGCAGCAGACTTTGCGAAAATTAGTATTTGTGTCATTCTCAAAACTTTTGACCACGACTGTACAATATCCTAGCCTATTCTTTGATGACAGGCCCTGCTTTACAGAAGTAGCAAGACTTTACAAGCCAAGATATTGCGAAACACAGCATCCCATTGCGAGATACAGCTTTTGATTCCAGATAGATAGTCAGAACCATGCACTAGGCCTGTCTGCCTGATGGCCGACCTACCTATACTGCGCCCCTCCCCTCTCTCTCCGTCCCTCGCTAGCTCGCTATGAAAGATGCAAGTGTTTTGAGTTCTCGGAAGTACGGCAACTAATCAGTCTCCTCCGTTCCAAAAATACTGAATCTTAGGAGTTGATTCCTAGCGGAAGATGTGTTTTCGTTCTACCAAATATCTTGGTAATAGGGCTGACCCCATTTAGTCGACTGGTGGATTGTTTGGTCGACCGAGATTTCTATAGTCGAGCAGTAGCATAATAAAATATATATATATATACAGTACCAGTCAAAAGTTTTAGAACACCTACTCATTCAAAGTTTTGTCTTTATTTTTACTATTTTCTACATTGTAGAATAATAGTGAAGACATCAAAACTATTAAATAACACATATGGAATCATGTAGTAACCAAAAAAGGGTTAAACAAATCAAAATATATTTTATATTTGAGATTCTTCAAAAAGCCACCCTTTGCATGGATGACAGCTTTGCACACTCTTGGCATTCTCTCAACCAGCTTCATGAGGTAGTCACCTGGAATGCATTTCAATTAACAGGTGTGCCTTCTTAAAAGTTAATTTGTGGAATTTATTTCCTTCTTAATGCGTTTGAGCCAATCAGTTGTGTTGTGACAAGGTAGGGGGGGTTTACAGAAGA